TAAACTGAGTCAAACTACGTTAAACTGAGTCAAACACCGGTAAACTACGTTAAACTGAGTCAAACACCGTTAAACTACGTTAAACTGAGTCAAACACCGGTAACTACAACTACAACCTTAAACTACATAAGACACACACACGCGCACACACACACACACACAAACACAGTGTGTTCTCCTGTGTCAGACGGTTGAATCCTTCCTCTTCCTCCTCTTCCTCCTCTTCATCCCTCTGTTCTGTGGTCAGTCTGTTGGTGAAGTGATGTCATTAAGTATCTTCCTCTTCCTGTCGGTTGAGGAGGGAACAGGTGATGTAAGCGTTCTGCTGTGTGTCAGGTGTGAGGCGTTGGTGTGTCGATCTGGACGTGTCCGTTGTGGATCAGCAGTTGAAACTCTTTGTGTCCAGACACTCGGCCTTCGTGTCACAACACGTCCCAGGTGAGAGGAAGAGAAACTCTGCACCCTTTCACAATAAATGTATTCCTCATCTTTCTGCTTTTTATGTTCACTCTTAACGTCTTCAAAAACAGGAAGTGGAGATGACGTCAGTGACGATGTTTGTTTACTGTTCATGTTGACGTTAAACTGAATATTAACAGAGGTCACAATGACATAATCATTCACACTGTGTGAGTTAAACACAGTCAGCTGAGACTCTGCTGAGCAGCCTGAGGACACACTCGTGTCTCATGTGTCTTGTTGCTGCAGGTCAAAGGACGCTGCATCACCGTGGAGACGTCCTGGACATTCAGGTCGTGGTGAATCCAGTTCGTGACTTTGTCCTCTCTGAGGTGGGAACCGAGCGGAAACAAAAGCAAAAATAAAACTTAATATCCTGTAGTTAGTCACATGAGCTGAAATGTGAAAGGACTCTGTTGTTCATCATTTATTCCACATCATTGAAAACCTCTGTGAACTCATGAACGTGTATCCTGTTGGTTCAGATCCGACGGCTGATCTGTGATTCGTCTCGACACAAACTGTTGGTTGTGGTCGGTCAGTGCGTGGAAGAGAGCGGAGACATTGTGTTGCAGAAAGGCTGCTTCTCTCTCGACGACATTGTCCACATCGTCACTGATGATGAGGTGAGAACCTGTCGGACTGTCCTGTCTCAGGCACAAATTCATTTTAATGAATCATTTTTTCTAGTTGTCACTGAGGTTTGTTTGTAATTCGTTTTAATATTTAAAAAGTAATGCATATTATTAGATTCTGGTTGTTGAACAAGTTGTTTTCGTGTTTTCAAAGGTTGCAGAGTTGTTGAACTCATCAGACGCTGCGGTGAAGGCCAGTCTCACGCTCTGCTGTCCAAGCCACGGTCTGTGGACGGACTCTGTTTCAGAGAAACACAACCTTCAAGACTTCATGAACATCCAGATCAACCCTCCCCTTGTCCTCCCTCAGATGGAGGGTCTGCAGGAGTTCACAGAGTATCTTTCTGAGTCCCTGGAGCCTGAGTCGCCCTTTGACCTCCTGGAGCCGCCGAGCACCGTCGGCTTCCTGAAACTCTCTCGACCCTGCTGCTACATCTTCCCTGGTGGGAGGGGTGACTCGGCCTTCTTTGCCGTCAACGGTTTTAATGTTCTGGTGAATGGCGGCTCTGACTCCCGCTCGTGCTTCTGGAAACTGGTTCGACACCTGGACAGAATCGACTCTGTGCTTCTGACCCACGTGGGCGTTGACAATCTCCCTGGACTCAACAGTCTCCTGCTGAGGAAAGTGGCCGAGCAGGTGAACGAGTTTGGATCTCAGACTGAAGAGGACTGGATAAAAAATCTCATCTCTCCTGAGATCGGCGTGGTTTTCCTCAACGTTCCTGACAGAGTCAAGTCTTTTCAGGATGATCCCAGTGAGCTGCGGAGCTGTGACCAGGTGGCACTCACATGTCAGTCCTTGCAGAGATTGGCAATCAAACCGGAACCTCTCAGTCGGTTTAACGGACCCATTATAGAACCAGTCATTTTGTTTCAGAAGATGGGCGTTGGCCGTTTGGAGCTCTACACTCTGAATCCTGTCAATGGAAGCAAAGAACTTGATGCTTTAATGCAGATTTGGCCAAACAGTGGATCGAATGTAAAGAGCTCAAATCTTCCTCTAACGTGCCTCGTTTCCATCTGTGCTCTGCTGGTGTGGCATCCATCCAGTCCTCAGGAGAAGATCATCCGTGTTCTTTTCCCAGGGTGCACACCACAGACCAAAATCCTGGATGGATTTGAAAAACTCAAACATCTGGATTTCCTCAAACACCCAACAGTGTGTTTGAAAGATCTCGAAACACTCAAACCTGAAAAACAACCAAAAAGAGCAGAGAGTCGTGAAAGCCTTAAGTCCAGTTCGAAAGACGTCAGACCCAGTAGTGCCTTACAGAAAGACAAGCTTGGAAGAGTAGAGGTCAAAAAACATGAGGTGAAAATGAAGCTGAAGGCAGCAGGTGACCCTGCATACAAAGACAAGATGGATGGAGAAGATAAAACTAAAGTAAAGGATGGAGACGTCAAACTAAAGCCAGTGAAACCTGCTGAGAAGGTTGCTCCAAAGAAAGATGTGATGTTAAAAGAGGAGAAAAAGGAAGTAAAAAGGAAGGAACCTCTGAGTTCCAAACCAAAGAAAGACATTAAACCTGAACCAAAGAAAGACAGTAACAGGGGTGTAAAGACAGACGAGAAGAAAATTAGACTGGTCGCTAAAGATGGAAAGAAAACAGGAAGTGGAGCCTCATCAACAGCAACTGAACCAAAAAAACCTTCAGGTAAGACTCAAAAGAAAGACGTGACCATTCCAAAGAAAGACATGTTGACCAGAGGGACAAAGACTAAACCAGATTCAAACCAGAGAGAGGCTGATCGCTTCTTGTCAACACCGGAGGACATGACTGCTGAATTTGAAAGACTTCAACTGGAAGATAACAATACAAACGTTGGTTTGAAGAACAGGAGTTCGGATGGAGCGAAGGCCAAAGGAAGTCAGATGTCAACTGTTGAGAGTCCCAAAATGTTTTGCGGTATGGAGATAGACAAGGAAATGTCTCTTTCCAAAACACCAAAGAGTAGTCTCAGTGTAAACTTTGATATCACTCCGACTGTGTTTCAGACGGTCGTCGGATCCCTGACAAACGGACCAGATGATTTTTGTGTGAGCTCAGAAGAGAAAACTCTAGAGCTGGTGTCACCTGCAGATTCAGCTCAAAACAGTGAAGGACAGACACCCTTCCATCCGTCACCTGAAGAGGACACTCAGTGTGTGGGTGAGGACAGCAGCCTCATTGGCTTCAGTTCGTGTCGGTCATCAGACTCCCTGAAGGACGTTCGGGAAACCTGCAGCCTCCCTACCCTCAGTCCTTTGGTGTCCATGTCTGTGGAGCCACCTACTACTGCGTCATCCAAAGGATCCATGGGAGACAGAGTAGACACCAATGGACATGTCAATGACTTGGACTCCAACACAGGGATGACCTTACCTCTGAGGTCGTCCCATCATGGACGTTGTGGAAATGGATTAGAGGAGCGCATTCACGGGATGTCCGACCTCACCTCAGATGTTCCACATGACGTTGATCTGTGTCTGGTCTCACCTTGTGAGTTTCAACATCCCAGGACCCCAGAGAACCATCAGCAGCCCGTCAATGCTGCAAACACTCAGGACCAGGACCGCAACCAATGTCCTTCAGCCTTCAGCCAGGAAACTCCTCCCACATCAACCAGTGACTCTCTGCTGACGATCACAGATTCCGACATCCCCCCTGGCACAGAGGATTGTCCGTCCATCACCGCAGACATCGACTCTGATGAAGATGCCAGTGACCATTTTCCATCCGGCCATCCACAGGATCCTCACAGTCTGCAGTATGTCCTCCAGGAGGGACAACCTTCCACCCATGACCTGCCACCAGCCCTGATCAAAGATCTGCCACCATTACCCCCCCAGCCTGGAGCCTGCATGGCAGACGCACAGGCTGATGCATCGGACAAGAGTCTGAAGAGTTCAGCTACAAAGACCAAGAAACCTTCAGGTTTGACCCAGAAGATAACATCCGGAGGAACCACAGCCCAGAACGGAAAGTCCAAGGTCGGCAGCTCTTCGGGGTCATTGAGGATTCTGTCCAGCCTTGACGCCAAGCCATCATCGAGAAATTCACTCGGTGGATCAAGAATTGGAACTTTAAAACCTCCATCGTCAGGTAGGCATCAGCCTGAAATAATAATGAGATAATATTAGAAATATTTATTTTATTGTTCAGAAACACGTCTAGAAAACAGTTTTAAACACGTTAAACATGTTCTGAAAACATTGGAAACACATTCTGTAACACGTTGTGACTCGTCTTGTTCCTAAACACGTCCAGAAAACGGTTTTAAACAGGTTCTGAAACACGTCTCTGTCAGCTTCATGAACCACGCTAGATGTGTCACAGCTCCATCTAGTGACCGTCATAGGAAATCTGTAGAATCTCACTTGTTCTCGCTGGTTTCAGCTTCCAGAGTCTCAGAGGGTTCTGCAGTCTACGTGGATCTGGCCTACCTCCCGTCCAGCGGTGCCTCCTCCACTGTGGACGTGGAGTTTTTCAAACGCGTCCGCTCCTCATATTACATCATCAGCGGAGACGATCCTGTGAAGGAGGCAGCAATGAGGAGAATCCTGGACTCACTGCTGGAGGGGAAGAGCAGCTGGCCTGAGGTCCAGGTCTGTGAAAAAGCTGACGTCATGTTTGTCGTTCACCTTCTCATTATCTAATCCCTGATTGGTCCGTTACTCTCTACTGTCTACAGGTGACTCTGATCCCGACATTTGATTCGCTGGCGATGCACGAGTGGTACCAGGAGACCCACGACAAGCAGAGGGAGCTGTCAATCACCGTGCTTGGTAGCAACAGCACAGTGGCGATGCAGGAGGAGACTTTCCCCGCCTGCAAAGTCGAGTTCTGAGCCCCCCCCCCCACCCAGGCAGAGGATGACTTTTAATGTTGCCATGGTAATAACCAGACCACCCTCAAAATCCTTCCCGCAGGTTTTAGTCTGCAGTTTGGTGACAAACGATTTCAATGATGGTTTTTCCTCCCAGAAAAGTGGTCGGGGGGGCTCAGATCATTTAGAGGCTTTCAGACGTGTTCGGACCATGAAAAGTTATTTTAAAGTTTTTAAGTGTGACTGTGTTAGTAATCATTCACTGTGTGTGTGTGTGTGTGTGTG